TCTGATGCATAACAACTGATTGCAAAGACCATGGCCTGTATCAGATATACCTTAGTCTCCAGAGAGACACCATTGCTCTTCAGTACTTTGGAGAGGTCCCTAACAGCAGACTTTCCCGTCGGAAGATCTATCAACAATCTGCGATATGCAGATGACACAATTCTGCTTGCTGAAAGTGAGGAGGACCTGAGGTGCTTGCTGCAGAGGTGCAAGGACTGCAGCCTCCAATATGGATTGAGGCCCAATGTCAAGAAGACAAAGATTCTTACCACTGGGCCAATTGGCAGCCTCAGGATGGATGGTGAAAAGATTGAGATTGTTCACAGCTTTAGTTTCCTTGGCTCCACAGTCAACACTCTTGGCACCAGTAGCCAGGAAATTAAAAGATGTATTGTGATGGTAAAGTCAATTAAGGATGACTGAAGAAAAATTGACACCTTTGAGTTATGGTGGAGAAGAGTATTGAATACCCCATAGACTGACGAAAGAACATACATACATTTTGGAGAAGGTGCAGTCAGAGAATTCTCCTTGGAGGCAAAGATGGCAAAGCTTCATCTTACATTCTTTGAGCATGTTGCTAAGAGAGACTAGCCCTTGGAAAGGGACTTGGTGTATGGAAAGTTGGAGGATCAGTGAAGGAAAAGAAGACCTTCAGTGAGATAAGTTGATATGATGCCTTCGACAATAGGTTCATTTATGTTGGGAATGAGAAGGATAGGGCAGGTTTCAGATTTGTTCATAGGATCACTATGAATTATATGTAACTCATTGGTACCCATTGAACAGCATGTATTCCGTTGGCAGCTTTGATGGCTTGTTATTGTTGTGTACCTTAGAGTTGGAATCAACCTCATCCCTCTGTAAGGTATCAGAGTCAGTTAGTTGTACAGGAGGAGATTGCCTGTCCTTCTACAGAATAGCTGGTGGCCTTGCCATGAGGACACCAGAGGTATATGATTCAGTCCACCAGCTGCTTAGATAGTCAGTCTCCTATTGTGTGATTTATTGCCTTTCACCAGAAAGATGCTGCCTTTAGGTTAACAGCGCAGCCCTTATTTACTGCACCAGCAGAGCTCCCTAAATATCTTCCCTCAGTTTCATTTTGGCTGTTGTGAATAATAGTTGTGTTTACAGAACTTTGTCTTTGTATATGTATTAATCTTGTCAGCATTTTATTTCAGGGTAGGTCTTGAAATATTCTTTTGAATAATGAATTCATCATCCTCCTCTTTAAATTGTTCCCAGCTTAGTGTATCATATGATGGTCCAATTAGAAATGGCCAGTATTAGTACATTTCTGCTCACTAATGCAGTACTTGCTGCATTCCATTTCATTTTTTACAATTTCCAATTTACCAAGATACATATTTTATGCATTCCACATTCTAATTTATAATTCTAATTACAGCTGGTTTCTTTCTTTTTAGTCAGACCACATCAGCAGATGAAGACCCCAACCCCTCACTGAGTGAAAATTTTATTCCATTTGTGCCGTTAAGGTGAACTCTGATTTGAGGAGCAAGTTCTTTCCTCATCATACTTTGAATTCCTTCCAACCTGTAGGGCCCATCTTCTGGCACTGTATACCACAGTGTTCCATTGCTATTCATAGGGTTTTTGAGGGTCATTACTTTTCTCAGTTTGTCATAATGTGACTTGCTTGTTGCCATCACGCAGGAAGGTATGCCACCAGTATTTTAAATACCAGCATGGTCACTCATTTAGGACAGGTTATAATGAATCTGACAGATTAAGACAAACTAAGAAGCAAGACAAGCCATCAGCTTTTGAAACAGTGGGCCCTTGAATAAAATCTCAGTGCTACCAAGTTATTTCCTGGTATAGTGACCCTCTAGGACAGAGTAGAACTTCTTTAGAGTTTATCTTGCTTACTGTAAAAACCAGCTTTTTTGAAAGAGAGTTTATGAAATACTCATTCTTTGTCTTTGACCCACTATTTTTATAGCCTGTGATTAAAAAAAATGTTTTTTAGGGGATAAGTGCTCATGTTTCTAACGTCTGATTATTTGATAATAGGAAAGATTCAAACTCTGTTTCTCATTTGCTACACAGTTGAAAGGATTTTAATGCAAGAAGAAGAGTTCTGGAGACATCGCTTCTAGATTCTGACATCTAGAGTCCACTTATTTCATTAACTGTGAGGGCACCCAGAGTACTTTAACAGTTTCCCAAATTCTGTTACATAGTAATCTTATTTTATCCTCACTGACCTCATGAAATAGGGTCAGGTATTATGAATACCCTTTTTAAAATAAAGAGAGTAACACTGAATTGTTTATGGAACATAGTGACTGGGTTTTTTTTTTTTTTGTTTTAAATTTATTTTATTATTTTTGTGTGAATGTACCATCAAATCAGATCTGACTGGTACAGGAGGAAATTGTCCCTCCTTCTCCTGCAGGGCATCTGGTGGATTCGAACCGTGTATCTTTGGGATTGCAGTACAGCTTCTTTCCACTAGGCCAGCAGAGCTCCCCTAGGAACACAGTGACTGTTAAACTTGAGATCTGAACCTAGATTATTTTATCTCCACACACACTTCTTTTTTTTTTTTATAAACACAATTAAGTGCCTCTCTAGGAGTCTCCATGTAACACAAATGGTTAGCTCTCAAATATACCAGTCAAAATTGAGGGGTTTGAACTCTTTACCCAGAGGCCCCTGAAGACCTGCTTTTAGAAGGTCCCATCTTTTAAAACCCTCTGAAGTATTTCTATTCTGCACATGGAGCTGCTGTGAGTCATACTAAACAGCAACTAGCAAATCCTGTCAAGGCCTTTCTGTGTCAGCCATGGAGTTCCTCTGTTACTAAAGGGTGGAATACACAGCCTAGGCAAACACATTATTTAATTCTTTGTCTACTTAAAGATAAAAAGTGTTGCTTTCTTATAATAATTTGGGATCTCGGCCTGATGGAGTGATAAGCTATCGGCCTAAAATGATGTTTGATTTTGCTGTTGTGAACAGCTACCATTTGTCACTAAAGAACAAAATTGTCAGGTTTGTCCAGTGTAAACTAGTGAGTTCCTTAAGTAACTTGGGTGCGTAGAGTTTGGGAAGGTAGGCAGCTAGGCCTGAGAAACTTAATCACATTCCTTACCCAGCTTATAGGTTACTGTCAACTTTTGGTCCTAGTTACCAACAAACAGATTTACCTGGGAGTAGAGGGGTTTGGCCTCCATTTAGAATGTGTGCTTTCTTCACATCTGATCTCAGCCGACTGGAAAAGGAGGCTTTGACAAAATGAAAGATTTCATTCTTGCTCTTGTTTGTTGTCTTTTCCTCACAGTGGGCTACCTTAAGGATGGAGAGGGGAGCCAAGGAAAAGAACCACCAACTTTATAAGCCCTATACCAATGGTAAGACGGTGCCTTGATTCTTATCCTGTAAGGTTCTTCCCAAATGTGTTCCTAAATCTTTCATGGTCACACTTACACTTCACTGTAGAAGATGTAGGGTGTGTACTTCAAATGTGTCTGACATACTCTCTTCCAGCATGCTGCTTGACCAAGGTGTTCTCTTTGCAGGAATCATTGCAAAAGATCCCACTTCCCTAGAAGAAGAAATCAAAGAAATTCGCCGAAGTGGGAGTAGTAAGGCTCTGGATAACACTCCAGAGTTTGAGCTCTCTGACATTTTCTACTTTTGTCGGAAAGGAATGGAAACTATTATGGATGATGAGGTGACAAAGAGATTTTCAGCAGAGGAGTTGGAGTCCTGGAATCTGCTAAGCAGAACCAATTATAACTTTCAGTATATCAGCCTGCGGCTCACTGTGTTATGGGGGTTAGGCGTGCTGATTCGGTATTGCTTCCTCCTACCACTCAGGTGAGGGCAGGGCATGGTGGGGAGAATGGGTCTTGAGCTTTTGCCACCTAGGCCTAATGCATCATTTTCCTATCTTACTCCCTCCACTTTGTGATTCCATTTTAGAAAGAAGACCAGTAAGAATCTTTTACTGGCAAGTCCCACTGCCTCTTAGAAGGGGATTGTCCTTTAATAGCCACTGAAGTCTCCACATAACAGATAGACAGTTTCATGAAGACACATTGCTTATCTGGGAGCAGAGGAAACATCATGTCCTTCTGGCTTTTCTTTCCTGGGCAGAGGTAGTTCTTTCCTGCCTCTATACAGAGGCAATATTGATCTCAGTCTTTCTGTACCTTGTGCTGTTCTGAGTATGTCTTGCCAGATGCCATCCCTTCAGGCTCTGCCTCCTATTGCTTCACAAAGGAGCTGTGCTTCTGCCAAGGTTGAAAGCCTAAGGGAAAGATAAGCCATCAGGACGGCAGGTGTCCTGGTGTAGAAAAGGCAGAATTAGGATTTTCATTATCTGGCTGCCCGCGGCCTGAGGAGCTGCGGTCACCTGACCCCAAATCCAGAGTTCACTGTGAGTCGGGACTGGAAATGATCTGTTTTTTGAGAGGCCTGCTCTCACTTCTGGTGGAACTTGCCCAGGACTGGCCTTAGTGATTAGCTCTTTGGATTGGTATTCATGATGTCCACTTTCATTTTCACACATAAAATTCTATACTTGGTGCAAGAATTTACTGCCTTCTAACTCGTCTTCTTCTTACAGGATTGCTCTTGCTTTCACGGGGATTAGCCTTCTGGTGGTGGGCACAACCATGGTGGGATATTTGCCAAATGGGAGGTGAGTAGAACTCTACTGTCTTTGACTAAAGGGAGCTTATTTTAGGAATTGTGTTTCTCTGACAAAAGTCAGAGTCACATCTTCCCCTTATCCTGGGTAGACAAGAAGCCTGTTAAGCCTCTGAACTTCAGTGATACTAAAGGGCAGGTGACATCTTTAGATGGAGCCAAATCTGTGGGATTTAGCTGATTGAAATAAATCAATAATAACATTGGCATCTGAACTCTGAAAAACTCTTTGCGGAACCAACTGCTTGCCAACCTTGCAGCAGGTTTTCTGAGGCCTTGAGTTGCACAGGAGGAGATTACCTGTCTTCTACCTGTGAAGTCACTGATGCATTTGAACCATCAGAGAGGTACACCACCTTTGGCTTAGCAGACTAACTCCCTGTGGACAGTGTCATTATTAATCTGTCTACAACTGTGTTCTTTTTCCCTCTCCAGCCCTTACACATTTCCTGTTTTAAAAGCAAATGGGAAAAACGACAGAAGTGCTTGCTGAGTTCAAGACTCATCTATTAGCCGATTTGGCAGCATGTTGTTTAGTTTTCAGCATTCTAGGAAGCTTGGGTGGTATAACCAGTTTGCAGTCTACTGGTAACCCAAAAGGAGTTCGCACCCACTTAGTGGCTCTGTGGAAGAGAGACTTGTTGAACTGCTTCTGTAAAGATTGTAGCCAAAAAACACTATGGATCAATTCTACTCTTAACACAGGGGGTCACCATGAGTGGGTCCACTTTGAAGGCAACTAATAACAAATTTGCATTTGAGAAGTTGGCAAGAAAATAGGATTTTTAAAAATTATTAGACATATATGTACATATACACATAAGTATATGTGTATATATACATATATATGTATACTTTTTTTTTTAAAAAAAAGAGAACTCTATCCCTTTAGGGAGTTGTGGGGCTCAGCAGACTTCTCTTTGCCCAGAGCAGGTGAGGATGTGTGACTCTGACATCTGTTCTTCCTCTCAGTACTGACTGAGGAGGAAGAAGGAATTAGGCGACACCTTGGTCCACCATACTGAAATTCTAGGGCTCTGAACCCTAAGCCCACTAACTTAGGTGAATTTTAGCAAGTGTCATCATCATTTGTTTGCTTATACATTAACATGCAGGTGCTAATACAAGATTCTGCCATATATACTCACTCATTGCCATCAAGTTGGAACTGATTTATTGCTGACCTTCCCTTGGTTCTCTGAGACTAAATTGCACAGGGGGAGATTGACTATCTCTTTTCCTGCAGAGCCACTGGTGGATTTGAACCACCAGAGATATGTAGCCTTTGAGTTAACAGTGCATCTCCTGTTGGACTTATTAGCTGCTTACTAATACTTACAAATGAATTTTGCAGTCATAAAGGACAGTAGACTGGAGCAGTTGAATTGTTGGAGTGAACAACTTTTCTTGCCTTGTCCTAAATGTAAAATAAAACATGAATTTCCATCTTGTTACAGGTTTAAAGAATTCTTGAGTAAACATGTTCACCTGATGTGTTACCGGATTTGTGTGCGCGCTCTGACAGCCATCATCACCTACCATGACAGGTAAGGCCACTGTGCTCCACCAGTACACCAGCTGCAGGCATGACCCCTGACCCACCCACTACCAGAGACAGGGGGAGCTTTTAGTTAGAAATCATACTTGTGAGGGAGGGATGATTTCTAAATAAATTGTTTCACTCCAGTTTTTGTTACTTTGCATACATTTTTTCAAACCCAGGGAAAACAGACCTAGAAATGGTGGCATCTGTGTGGCCAATCATACCTCTCCTATTGATGTAATCATTCTGGCCAGTGATGGCTACTATGCCATGGTAAGATATCTTTCTTTTGTTTTCTGTGATAGTGTTTTATCTTAAATCAGTCATGACTCAGGGGCTTCTGGGCCCTTCTTTTTAGTGTATAAATATTCAGACATGCTTCTGTATATGCATGGTCACCTTGGCTTCTGTTGCTGCTGGGAACTCTTTGCAATTTAAATAGAGGATATTCTGAGCAGAGGTGGCCTTAAATTGCTGTGTGGTTGAATATTATAATTTAACCTTGAAAAAGGGTGAATATTAAAGAAGTAAAGCTTTGAAGGTACTAGCTTCATGGATCTTTTTCACAAGGTCTTCCTTAGCCTTTGTAGTTTGGAGGTTTTCAGTGATGATTTTGATTTCACTTGTCTGGTATCAGTAACAGAAATTTAAGGCTTGAAGTGATAGTGAGAAGCCTGTGGTTAGCAGGAAATCACAGTTGGTCGAAGGTTAAGTATAAGGTACTTCACCATAGACCCTGGGGTATTTTCCCCCAGATGTTAGGGGTGGGTAGATGGCACAGGATAGGACAGAGTTCAGATCTGTTCGTAGAGTTGCTATGAGTCATACTCGACTTGATGGCACCTAAAAACAACATTTGTATGAAAATGACTCACTAATAATTATTTCTTTGTCCGAGATTAGGTGGGCCAAGTGCATGGAGGACTTATGGGTGTGATTCAGAGAGCCATGGTAAAGGCCTGCCCTCATGTCTGGTTTGAGCGCTCTGAAGTAAAAGATCGCCACCTAGTGGCTAAAAGGTAAACCTGCAAAATACTCTTGTAAAACCAGAAATTAACCACAGGAGGGTAAAGCTTATAAAACCATCCATGTGGAAACTGAATAAATCTCTACTCGATTTGCATTCTAAAAGGAAGATCACAAAATCCTACAGGGTCTCCACAAGAAAAAGGCTGATGTCATAATTAGAAAATGGGCAAAAGACATGGAAGGAATTTTCACAGAGGAAGACATTTGAATGGCCAACAGACCCATAAAGAAATGCTCAAAATCACTGGCAAAAAGAGAGATGCAAATCAAAGCCACAATGAGATACCATCTCACCTCAGTAGCAGTGGCAAAGTTTAACAGGACAGCAAGTAATAAATGTTGGAGAGGATGTGGATCAATTGGCAACATCAGGATGGATGGTGAAGAGATTGAGATTGTTCACAGCTTTAGTTTGCTTGGCTCCACAGTCAACACTCTCGGCACCAGTAGCCAGGAAATTAAAAGACGTATTGCGATGGGAAAGTCTGCTTTTAGGGATCTCTCAAAAGTACTGAAGAGCAATGGTGTCTCTCTGGAGATTGATGTGGGTCTGATACAGGCCATGGTCTTTTGCAATCACTTGCTATGCATCAGAGATTTGGACAGTGACTAAGGAGGATAGAAGGAGAATTGATGCCTTTGAGCTGTGGTGCTGGAGAAGAGTATTGAGGATACCATGGACTGCTAGGAAAATAAACAAATTCATCCTGGAAAGGGTTAAACTGGGCAGCTCCCTGGAAGCAAGGATTCTGAGGCTCTGTATAACATAGTTTGGACATGTTGTAAGGAGGGACTGATCTTGGAGAGGGACATCATGCTTGGTAGGGTGGAGGGACAGCGCAGGAGGGGAAGGACCTCTTGGAGGTGGATTGATTCAGTAACTGGGGTAATTGGGATGGGTGTATTGGAGACAATGTGATTGGCACAGGACAGCAGAGTTTAGGGCTGTTGTATATAGGGTCGCCATGAGTCACAAGCGACTCAACGGCACATAACAACAACAGCACTATACTGGAGGGATTGTAAAATGGTACAACCACTCTGGACGGCAGTTTGACGTTTCCTCAGAAAGCTGAACATAAAATTCCATATGACCCAGTTATTCCACTACTTGGAATATACTCCGAGAAAATGAGAACTGAGGCATAAACTGAGACATGTACACCACTATTCATAGCAGCATTATTCACCATTGCAAGAACATGGAAACAGCCCAGATGTCCAACCACAATGGAATGGATTGAGAAATTATGGTGCATTCACACAATGGAAAACTATACAGTACCCAGGAGCAGTGGTTTTATAAATCGCGGCCTAGCTTGGGAGGAACTGGGGAGTGTTGTGCTGGCTGACCTGACTTGGTCCCATGGGGACGGGTGCTGCGTGAAACCATTATTGTGGAATGTGCATTAGGATGTGCAAGGGGGAGAGGGTGGGAGCAGAGTGGTGAAGATGGGGAGGGGGTGTGGTGAGGGGTGGTTAATCATAGGTTCATATAGTTTGGTGGGTAGAGGGAAGGGTGGGTAAAGGAATTGGGAAAGATCTAATGGAAAAACAATGTCTATGAACTTTGAAAATATACCAATATAAAATATAAATTTTATTTAAAAAAAATGAACAACCAACCAAAACAACAATAAAAAAGGTGTGCTTTGGTGACTTTTAATGATAAGTAGTTGTGCTGTTAATCTTAAGACAAGCAATTCAAATCCACCAGCTTCTCCACAGAAGAAAGATGAGCATTTTCTTCCTTTGCAATTTACTGCCTCTATACTTATTGGTATATAATAACAGTGTAAAGAGATTTTAAAATTTCTCTGCAGTGGAGTTAAGGTTTTTCTATTTTTGGTACTTTTCATATTATTGTCTCCTGAACCTGTATAGTTTTCATGATAAAAATATTTTCTAAAACATGAATTATTAAAGTTAAGGAGCTCTGGTGGCTTATTTGTAAAGAATTGAACTGCCAATGCAAAGGAACATTGTTTGAATCCACCAGCTACTCTGCAGGAAAAAGATGGAAAGTCATCTCCTGTTAAAAAGCCTCTGAAAAACCCACCAGAGGGTCAGCTATGAGTTGGTTCCGACTCTGCCATACACAATAACAACATAAAAGTGTGGAAGCCTTAGTTTTATTTACCAAGTTAATAATGTTTTATTTCCTTATTTCCATGCAATAGAAGATATGAACTTAAAAGTAATAATACTTGAGCGCTCACTTTGGCAGCACATGCACTAAAATTGGAACAATACAGAGAAGATAAGCGTGGTCCCTGCGCAAGGATGACACGAAAATTCATGAAGCGTTCCATAATTATTAAAAAAAAATATATGTTTGAAATCTCGAAATGGATTAAAATCTCAAAATTAAAAACCAAGTCAATGAAGCTGAGGACCCTGTTTTCAAATGAAAGAAAGTATATCTAGTACAAATAATTCATTGGGTAAGCTTTGCAGCAGACTAAGAATTATTCAGTCTCCAGTGAGAGTCTGTTCCGTAGACTAAATGAGCCCACACCAGCTCTTCTCTGTTGCATCTCTCAGGACAGAGTATTGTGCAAGGTGGTCTTCGACTTAGGCATGGACAGGCTGCTCTGCAGCGGTCGACACATTTATTGAGGGTGCTGCGTGCCACATCCTGGCCAGCCTTTTTTTAAAGCAAACAAACTTTTAATATATATTCCCAAGACTGAACAATAACATCTAGTAGACTTTTGATACTTCCTTTTTAAATTATATGGAAAGAATAGTGTTTTTCTGACTTTCTAAGTTTTCTTTTCCCTCAGTTTTAGATTTTGGATTATAAAAGACAGGTTTATATATTTTAACCTGCTTTTATACATTTGAAGGAGTGGCACATGCAAATTGGTTACTTGTAAATTACTTTGAAATGATGGACACAGGTTATCTAACTTTGGTTTTCTCTTTCTGTTCTAAAGACTTACTGAGCACGTTCAGGATAAAAGCAAGCTGCCTATCCTCATTTTCCCCGAAGGTAAGGACTGATCTTGATGGAGAACTGAGCAGGGAAACTATGCAGAATTATGCCTGTGGGTTGGCCTGGGAACTAGGTGTAGCAACCAGGTCAGCTAGCCTCCGTGAATAATAATGAGATCCCCTTAACGTGTATTGTAAAATTAAAACTTCTGGCAATTTCAGAGCTTAGACTTAAGAGTAAGATAAAGTGAATCTAAGACAAAACAAAATAAAATATAAAATATATTTTCTAAAAGATTGCTCTTGAGTCAGCCCTGACTCCTGCTGACCTTGTGTGTGTCAGAGGAGAACTGTGCCCCTGAGGGGTTTCAGTGGCTGAGTGTGGTCATCAGACTTCTCTTTTAAAACACTTTTGGGTAGATTTGAACCACTAACATTGGGTTAGTAGTCAGACACAGCCTTTTGTGCAACCCAGGGACTCCAGAGCAAGTTTATTTATTAAAAAAAAAAGAAACTTTCTTTCAAACTCTTTAAGTCTTTGATCTTCATATATAGTTCTTACTGAGACCACCCAAGTCTGCTGAGGGAAAATGGTCTTGTAAAAAGAGCATAGGAAGCAATGAAGTATTCCCTCTTACGGATTTGCTCACAAGATAGGAAGGTGATAGTTTTATTCTGTTTGAGGAGTCATTAGGTTTTGGTTTTAGTTTCTCTTTTTAAGGAACACTTAATCTCTGGGGTAAAAGGTCAAAAGAAATAATATTTCACACTCTCCTGTTTTTCAGGAACCTGCATTAATAATACATCGGTGATGATGTTCAAAAAGGGAAGTTTTGAAATTGGAGCTACTGTTTACCCTGTTGCTATCAAGGTACAAGACTTTTAAAGGGTGCACATTGTTATCACAGCTGCCTTGAACAGACCAGCAGGACGAACTAGGAGAAAGATCTAGTGTCACTAAGTCCTTAGTTTGGTCCTCTCAAGCAGAACACATGGGGGACTGACTGTTACAGGCCAAATTGTCCAAATTCTGTCAAAAGGGGCCGGGAGGTATTTACTGAGGGGTAGCCAGGCTCCTTCCACACCTTGCTGCTGACACCAGATTCAGGAAATGGTAAATGCTTCCCAAACTTTGCATTTCCCCCCAATATATTAGCTCTTCATAGACCTGCTGATGAAACACAAGATGTTCTCCATGGAAAGCAGGAAGTTGGTGTATGACTAAGCCAGGCTGGGTTTGAACATTTAGTAGAGATGTGAGGAGGATGAATGGTTAAAGATAGATCCTTATCTCTAAAGAAATAATGACAGTGTTATTACATAAGAACGATATATTAAGAAAATAATATTAAGACATTCTTTAATCTATATCTCACCTTTAGAAAAGTATACCTCTCAGGAACAAAAATGCAACAATGAATGAATGGAAATCCAAAATCTCTGAAACAGTTCATTAAAATTAATAAAATAAAGAAGTATACCTCTCAGTGTTTACATTCACTTGGAGAGGTGGGAATCAACCAGTTTACTTTATTTACCTTTACTCTTTTCTTTTTCTTCACGTCCTTCTGATTTCATAAATACATATTCTTTTTTTTTTTTGGCAAATATTCTTAAAAATAAACTTAGGCCTCACATTATTAATTCTTTAAAAACAGATTATTATCAAATTAATATACAATTTAAAAATAGGTTATTATCTATATGTTTGCATTAATAAACTAATAGTTTGAAATCTCCGCTCCAGATAAATTTGTGTCAGTGTTACATTTAGAATTTAGTCTTGAAAGTTCTGCAAGAGTCTGTTCTCTATAGAACGTTCTATAGAGATAGTTCTTTATTTTTACTTCCCTACATGACTTCTTCTCAATGGCTAACATTTAGAAGAATGGGAATCCCAGAACACTTAATTACGCTAATGCAAAACCTATACCTAGACTGAGATACTGTTGCTTGAGTAGAGCAAGGCAACACTTCATGGTTTAAAATCATGAAAGGTGTGTGTCAGGTTATATTTTTTCTCCAGAACTATTCAGTCTGTACACAGCAAATCATTTAAGCAGCTGTACTCTATGGAGAAGGATGAGACATTAGGAGCAGAGGAGGACTCATCAGCAACCTACATGATGCAGGTGACACAATCTTGGCTTGTTGAAAGAGAGGAAGACTTGAAACACTTAACTGCAAAGGTTCAAAGACTATAACCTTCAATATGGATTGCATCTCAACATCGAGACGACAAAAGTCTTCATCACTGAACCAATAAGGAACATCATGATAGATGGAGAACAGATTGAAATTGTTAACAGTTTCATCTTACTTGGATCCACAATCAACGCCTTTAGTACCAACAGTCAGGAGATTAGGAGATGTAGTCCACTGAGAAAGTCTGCTGTCAGGACCTCTCCAAATTACTGAGGAGCAGTAGTAATATCAGTTTAAAGACATGGCCTTTTTAATCACTTGCTTTTTAATCATTTGAGAGCTAGACAGTGAATAAGAATGACAGAAGAAAAATTGATGCCTTTGAGCTGTAGTGTTGGAGAAGAGTCCTGATATCCCATAGACTTTCACAGAAAACAAACAGCTTTGTCTTGGAAAAAGTTCAGCAGAGTGCTCTTTCGAGGCAAGGATGGCAAAGCTTCCATATTACATACTTTAGACATGTTGCTAGTAGAGGCTATTCCTTGGAGAGGGACATCATGCTTGGAAAGGTGAAGGGTCAGTAAAAGAGAGGAAGACTGTCAGCAAGATGGATTGGCACAGTGACTGCAGCAGTGGACTCAAGTGTGTCAGAGATGATGAGGATGGTGCAGGTTAGAACAGGGTTCAGATCTGTTATTCATAGTGTCATTGTGAGTCATACTTGACTGGCACTACCTAACAACATCATGACTAGTGCTTTCTAAGGAAAGAGTTGTTCCTTTTGGTAAAGCAAACACTCAGCAACTCAACTTGAGTTAGTTTTGCAGTAAGACAGAAGTAGCAAGTGAGTATTGGCTACAGGGGAACTCTGATTAATCATAGGCCCGCCAAGTTGGTTTATTGACTATGCAGTGTCTAGGAACATAGCCTGTTACCATTGTTTGATGTGAGTAAAAGACTAGGGAGTAGCACTAACACTGCACATGTCCTATCCTGCATTTGTGTTATTGGGAGTTGATGCTTTACTGTTTATGTTTATTAAAAACAAACAACTGTGTAGAATCCTATATTACTCTGTTGCAGCAGCATATAAAAGCTAGCCAGCATCTGTGTCACTTATAGGATTTACTAAAACAGATTATTTGGCTTCAGGTCTAAAGTTTCTGGTTCAGTAAATCTAAGAAGGGACCCAGGATTTGTGTCTCTAACATATCTCTGGGTAAATGTGTTCCTACTTAATGTATTCCCAGGTGGTGCTGATGCTGCTGTTGAAACCCATTGCTTTCACATTGTTTCTTGACCATCTTTGGAGCATGAACCTTAGGGAGAGTTTTGACTCCCTCTAAGAGAAATGCTTGTGAATCTTAGGTATAATATTATTTGACTCGGATTTTTTAAAGCTGATGTACAAACAGTGCTCAGGCCTTTCGTTCATAGGGTTGCTATGAGTCGTCTATGAATCGACGGCACCTAACCACCACCACCACAACAATTTACATTTATGCAGATGATACAACCTTACTTACTGAAACTGAGGACTTGAAATGCTTGCTGCAGAAAAGTACAGCTTTCAATATAGATTTCATTTCAACATCAAGAAGACAAAAATCTGCACCTCCGAACTGATAAGCAACATCATGATAGAGAAAGGAAGAAATTGTTAACTATTTCAACTTACTTGGATCCACAGTCAACACACTTAGTACTGACAGGAAACATATTGCACTGGGCAAGTCCTCTCTCAATGCCCTCTTCAAATTACTGAGGAATAGTGATGTTAGTTTGATGACTCTTGATTCAGTCCATGGTCTTTTCAGTCACTTGCTATGCATCTGAGAGCTGGACTAAGGATGACAGAAGAAGAATTGATGTCTTTGAGCTGTGGTGTTGCAGAAATGTGCTGAATATCTCACGGACTGCCAAAAGAATAAACAAATACATCTTGGAAAAAATTCAACCCGAGTGTTCCTTGGAAGCAAGGATGACAAAGTTCCATCTCATATTCTTTGGACGTGTTGCTAGGAGAGGCTATTCCTTGGAAAGGGACATCAGACTTGAATAGGTGGAGGATCAGCGAACGGGGAAGACTCAACAAGGTGGATTGACACAGTGACCACAGTAATGGGCTCAAGTGTGTCAGATGGTGAGGAGGACACAAGATGGTACGGGGTTCAGATCTCTTGTTAATAGCTTTGCTGTGAGTTGTACTCAGTGGCACCTAACAACAACAACATTAGTGATTAAGGAAATCCTACTATTGCAGTAGTTAAGGACTCATCTGCTAATCAAACAGTTAACAGTTTGAACCCAGCAGCTACTCCATGGGAGAAAGAGAGGCCATCTGCTTCCATGGAAATGACAGCACATAGGACACTTCTACTCTGCACTGTAGAATTGCTAGGAGTCTAGACTCAACAATAGGACTAGAATTCAACATGAAAGCTTGGTTTATCTGTGGTTAAACAGATAAGTATCTACTTAGCAGATAAGTATCTGCTACACAGGTACTTTTCTAAGTTTTGGAAGACCTTCATTTGTAACTAGACATGGAAAACCTTAGCAGTTCCTAAGTTCTTACATTTCCATGAAAATCAAGTCATGATCTACCATTTAGCAGGCCAGAGATTGAGGGGATGGTGCAGGATAGGGCACGGTTTCAATCTGTTCCTGTTGTGAGTCACTGTGAGTCGTGGTCCACTCGACAGCACCTCACAGCAACAGCGTCAGTTCTTCCCTCTTCACATCTCCCTGCCGTGGAACAGAATTTAAACAAAAGCCTTTCTTATTGCCACTGAAAATATAAAAATTTGTTCCTTCTTGTGATGTATGAAATACAGCTTTCTAATCATAATGCAGAAATGGAATGGGTAAAGTGACAGCAGCATCTGACCTCTGTTGACTTCACAAGGGGGAGAATCTCCATTCATGTCACCAGCACAAAGCTGAGTTCATTGAGGTCGGACATGCATCTGTGTTCCATGCTCCAGATGCTTTCTTCTATCAATTCCAGCACCAACCATTCTTCCCACAGCACTCAATTCTCTACTCCCTTGATAATCCTTTGCCAATGGCCACATAGAACTCACAGAAATCCTCATATAGGGGCTTGTTTAGGTTCAAGATTACTCTGGACACAGCTCTCCAGTCAGAGCAGTCTCTCTTCTCGAGCCTCCTTACAGTATCTCTTCTCTGGCCCTTGGCCTATCTCTTGCTCAGTCAGATGTACAAAGCTTACCCCCCCAACTCTTCCATTAAGCCTAGGCCCATAGGCACCTTCCTGTGGCTCTGTGAGTCAGCACATTAGCTACCTGATAAATGCCTGAAGACACCTGCTCTCCTTACAAAGACTGTACTTTCTTGCTCTGTGGACCAGGAACCTGAAGCTTTGTCTCATAGTAGATTCCTGTTTCTGCCACCTCTGTTGCAGTGGTCACTACCTCAGGCCCATCACTGCCTTACAGTTCTAGACCCTCTCCCCATTGGATCCAGGGGGTGCTGCCCTCAGGCTCTTTTTTTCTTGATGGTAGCAGAAAATTCCCATTTTCCCCTCTGCTATGGCTTCATTTAAACCTGACACTGTAACTAAACTGATCAAATCTTCACATTACCTTAGTGGCATTGTTCTACTCCAAATGTGCTATTCACTTTGCTTGCATTATTAGCAAGCTGTTCAATCCCCTTAATGGCAAAAAACAACTGAGATCTTTCTCCTGTTGTGCAGCTAGTGGATTTGAACCAAGTGATGGTAACAGATTTCCCACCCACCTCAGGCTCAAGTTGCTATTATCCCTACTGGGTTTTCTTTTTAATCTGTTCGAGTGACAGACCATTCATAATTTCTAGTGGCATCTTGGTGTCGGGAGATTAACTCTTAAAACTGTCTGCTTTTAATTTTCTGCTCTGTGGTCCCAAGTCTTCCCATTATAATTATATAGTCTGTCTAGGGTCTTGTCTGTTGTGCCCCTTCAGCATTCCATAGCAATTTCAAGACACTTGGTTCAGGAATCCTTCTGAAGGACTTATTTAGTTTTATAGCTTCTTACACAACTTCCCTTCTGCCTCATGTCTCTTACCCTTGCTTGGGTGTGACGTAAATGACTTTAATTGGTGTAAGGGAGACTAATTAGTGTGGTGGTACAACCACATAGCTCACGAAACACTTAACTTTTTGCCTCTGTGAACGTCATTGGGAAGTGAAAGTGATAAAGCTTAAATAGCAGAACACATGTAACTGAGACCTCTTGACACTCTGAGGTGCATGGCCATTAATTAATGATTTCTTGTTATGTACTGTCAAGTTGGAACCAACTCACAGGTGATCCTCCAGTGAGTTTTCAGAGGCAGTAAATCACATGGGAGGAGACTGTCCTTCCACCATGGATCAGCTGGTGGATTCAAACAAGTGCTTTACAGCTTCTTACCACTAAGTTACTAGAGTCATGGCCACTAAAAGGAGAGTCTTCTTGTAAAACTGACTTTGTAAAAGTTTAACTACAGAGGTCTATCTCGGACTTGGTTTAGGGCAACAGAAGGAATACTAAAAGTTGATAGTTAAGTAAATAAATGTGCTTATTGGGGTTATATACATGTTAAAATATTTATCAGAGAAATGCTGTGATGCAGGAGATGGCTTTTACAAGAGGGGTGGCTGCTTAAGATTTTCTTGAGAAAGGCTATTAGGAGAGTCCTCCTTCATGACCTACGGCACAAGTTTGATACTGTCAGGGGGAGGTTGCTGTAGGTCAGAACTTCCTGGAAGTAGTGTTTGCTTCAGGAGTGTTCCTGAGGGGTCTGACAGTGGCATTATCTAGCACTGCGACTGCTCCAGTTGACCCACTCTGAAACTTGACACCACACATTGTGAGAACTATCAACTTACCATTCGCTTTCCATTCTTCTCCAGTATGATCCTCAGTTTGGTGATGCCTTTTGGAACAGCAGCAAATATGGGATGGTGACTTACCTGCTGAGAATGATGACCAGCTGGGCCATTGTCTGCAGCGTTTGGTACCTGCCACCCATGACCAGAGAGGTAGGTGATCTAGTCGTACAGAGGTCTCCTTGTATTCTCCTATTACTTCGAGCCTGCATTGAGTGGTTTCATTCATTTTCATACAGACAGATGAAGATGCTGTCCAATTTGCAAATAGGGTGAAATCTGCCATTGCCAGGCAAGGAGGACTTGTGGACCTACTGTGGTAAGTTTAGAGCCACACTTCATCCACTAAGTTTAGGAGAACATAGGTTTCTGAAGCAAATGTTGGTTTATTGACTCCATTTGCCAGTAGTCTTCCTTCCCCTGGTGTGAAGAGTTAGACTTACCACTTCTAGATAGTAAGCAGTTTGATGCCTTTCTCCTACTTCTGTCTTAGTTGTCTCTGCTGCTTTGACCTGTTTCTCAGAGAAAATGGATTTGCACCACAGAGTTAATTCTGTGTGCCTCTAGGCAAGGCTATTCCTTGGAAAAGGACATCATACTTGAAAAGAAGAAAGGTCAGTGAAAGAGAAAAAGACCCTTCCATGAGATGGGTTGACCCAGTGACTGCAGCAGTGGGCTCAAATGTGTCAGAGATAGGGCAGGGTTCAGATCTGTTGTTCATAGGGTCATCATGTGTTGTACTCAATGTGACAACACCTAACAATAGTAACACCTCTTTACTCTTGTTCTTAGATGCCATCAGCAATTCCTATACCAACCTGTGTTGGCCACACTGTTCAGTCCTGTGCCATCCTCACAGTTGTTACTATATTTGAGCCCATTATTGCAACCACTGTATTAGTCTCTCATTAAAGGTCGTCCTCATTTTTCTTGACCCTTTCCTTTATCCAGGTAACTGTCCTGATAAGTCCAGTGTATGTGAGATGAAGTCTTGCTATCCTTGCTTCTGAGGAGCATTCATGGCTGTACTGCTCCCAAGACATTTGTTTATTCTTTTAGTTCTCCATGGCATATCAGCATTTTTCACCACCACCATAATTGAAAGCCGTCACTGCTTTAAATTGCTTTCACTGCTAAAGAAGCATCTGACAGTACTGTGGCTTGGATGACGAGGTACACCAGCGTCTGTTCTCATGGTGACAGCGCTGATTTTAACACTGTATCGTTGTTCATGACCAAACATTTTGCTAAGTGCGGTACATTGTTTGATAACCTCACTGTTGCTTTTATAGATGTTTATTGAAAAACCCAGTAAATTAAATTTTGGACAATTTCATTATTTATCATGATGTTGCTTATCGGTCCACTTAGGAGAATTTTACTTGATATTGGAGAGCAATCTATACTGAAGATTTGATCTTCACCAGTAAATACTTCAAGTCCTCTTCACTTTTCAGCAAGGGAGGTTTTATAGTTTGTATATTACAAATTGTTAAAGAACCTTCCTTCAGTCCTGATACCACATTCTTCATATAGTACAGCTTCATTTTTATTTGCTCAGCATACAGGTTAAATATCATGAAAGGATATAACCTTGATACATATTTTTCTTTATCTTAATCCACACTACAGAACAGTGTCATTGATTTCACATGCAAGCAAGATTCTGCTGAAGATCATCCAAAAACGATTAGAACAGCACATCAGCAGAGAACTGCCGGAAGTCCAGGCTGGGTTTAGAAGGGGTCGTGGTACTAGGGATATCGTTGCTGATGTTAGATGGATCTTGGCTGAAAGCAGGGAATACCAGAAGAATGTCTATCTGTGTTTCATTGATTATGCAAAGGCATTTGACTATGTGGATCATAACAAACTGTGGCTGACTCTGAGAAGAATGGGAATCCCAGAACATTTAATTGTGCTAATACGAAACCTATACTTGGACCAAGAGGGAATAGTCAGAACAGAGCAGGGTAACACTGCATGGTTCAAAATTGGGAAGGGTGTACGCCAGGGATGCATCCTGTCTCCATACCTTTTCAACATGTATGCAGAGCAGATTATCCGAGAGGCTGGGCTCTATGAGGAGAATTGTGGCATCAGGATTGGTGGAAGATCTATCAACAATCTCCGTTATGCAGATGACACAACCTTGCTTGCTGAAACTGAGGAGGACCTCATGCACTTCCTGCGAAGGGTCAAGGACTGCAGCTTTCAGTATGGACTAAGGCTCAACATCAAGAAGACAAAGATTCTCGCCACTAGACCAATTGGCAGCGTCAGGATGGATGATGAAGAGATTGAGAGTGTTCACAGCTTCACTTTGCTCGGCTCCACAGTTAACACTCTTGGTACCAGCAGTCAGGAAATCAAAAAGCGTATCGCGATGGGAAAGTCTGCTGTTAGGGACCTCTCAAACGTACTCAGGAGCAACAGTGTCTCTCTGGAGACTAAGGTGCGCCTGATACAGGTCATGGTATTTGCAGTCGCTTGTTATACATCAGAGAGTTGGACAATGACTAGGGAGGACAGAAGGAGAGTGGATGCTTTTGAGCTGTGGTGCTGGAGAAGGGTACTGAAGGTACCCTGGACTGCCAGGAAAACAAACAGATCCATCTTGGAGAGGATTAAACCAAGCTGCTCCTTGGAGGCAAGGATTCTGGGGCTTCGTCTGACATACTTTGGACATGTTGCCAGGAGGGAGGGGTCCTTGGAGAGGGACATCATGCTTGGGAGGGTGGAGGGACAGCGCAGGAGGGGAAGACCCTCTATGAGATGGATTGATTCGGTGACTGGGGTAATCGGGATGGGTGTGTCAGAGGCGGTGCGGTTGGCGCAGGATAGAGCAGGGTTTAGAGCTGTTGTGCATAGGGTCGCTATGAGTCGGAAACGACTCGATGGCACATAACAACAACAACAATCCACACTGTATCACTTTGTTCTGTTTAAGACACTTGAATAGTATACACTTTATGTAAGTACAAGTAAGTATTCTTGGATTCACATTATTTCACAGTATTACTTATGCTTTGTCAGGATTGACATAATCAAATGCTTTTCCATGGTCAAGACTACTGACATAATCAAATGCTTACTTGTAGTAAATATCTTTCTCATATAGTCTCTACTTTCAAACAGGATTCATTTGACATAAAGCAATGATAATGCTTATTCCATGTTCTCTTCTGAACCTGGCTTGAATTTCTGCCAGTTCCTTGTCAGTATGCTGCTGTAGGCACTTTTTAATTATCTTCAGCAAAATTTCACTTGCTTGTGAGATTAATATTGTTTCATAATTTCCACATTCAATTGTGTCACCTTTCTTCAGTCTAGGGACAAATATGACCACTAAAAAGTTGGTCATCCAGGCCACTGCCAAACTTCTTCACATAGACCAGGGAGCACATCCAGCATTGCGTCTGTTTGTTGAAGCAGAGGTCCTCTTAGGGTCACGAACATCTAACTTCATGCACAACCTCTGTTTGCCCTTGAATGTAGAACTTCAAACTGGTTTTGTATGACCAAGAAAGTGAAACAAGAACAGACCAGAATTTCTAGTTTGGTTGATTTGTCACAGTAACTAGAATGGGGAAAATGTTGTGTCAGAGCCCTGGGGGTTCGGAGGCAGGTGTGGTGTAGTGAGCCTTCCGGGTGACCTGGTGCAGGGGGTTGGATTGTTGCAGGACTGTGGGATGGTGCAGCACACATTCACAGTGGTGTCACCAGCCACCGAGTTTGAGCATGGCAGCTTGTTTTGGAAGCTCTGCTATTATTATGTAAATATGTACTTGCTTTGAAACCACTACTAACCCCTGCTTTAAAAGGGGTTTTTCATCACAAGCAGCTTCACTTGCTTGCATGCATCCTGTAAGTCTTTGAAAATGGTGTGGGCTTTTTTTTTTTAACTAAAGTAAGGTAAAGTAAGAGCCCTATGCACTTGTTGCAGCTAACCTACATATTCTCAAAGACACAATTAGGAATGCGTCTCTGTAATAAGTTAGGAACTGTCTATATCTTGATTGTTACTCCATCAATTTCTGAAATTTTGTTTTTCTCAAAAAAAATTTTTTTTAATTTATTTTTTTCCTAAAAAAATGTCTACTTTCAGTGCAGCTTAGACTTCTTCCTTCAAAACCATCAGTTTGTGATCAAATGTGCTGCCTCCTGCAGTGGGTGAACATTGACCAATTCTTTTGTACATTAACACTGTGTTCCTTCCATCCATCGTTTTCTGATGCTTTCTCCATTGTTCAGTATTTTGCCCATAGAATCCTTCAGTATTGCATCTTAAAAGTTTGAGGTTTCCCCTCCATTTTTTTTAGTTGGAAAAATGCTTAGCATATTCTTACCTTTGGAGGAGCTAACTTCAGGTCTCTGTACAGTACATTTAACACGTTTTGTCTTCTCAAGTTGTACTTTGAATCTCTGTTCAGCTCCTTTACATCACCATTTCTTCTCTTTGCGTAGGTTCTCTACATTGTAGAGCAGGTTTCAGAGTGTCTTCTGACACCCACCCATTTTGGTCTTTCCTTTTCCCACTACTTTCTCCTTTTATCATGTATGATATTGCTCACAACTTGCCTGGCCTTTGGCCATTCATGTTCACTACCATCCATTTGTTGCCTCTGGATTCAGGAGAGATGTACTCCGCACAGTCCTTTGGCTTTCATGAACTATTTTCTTCAGCTTCACTTTGAAGTTCCATATTAGCACTTAATGATGATCTGTTCCACAGTCTGTCCTTGGCCTCATTCTTATTGATGATATTGAGGTTCTTTGGTGTCCACAGATACAGACTTCTGTGTATTCCATCTGCTGAAGTTCAAATATATAGTTAGTTGTCTTTTGTTGTGAAAAAAGTTGTTCCAGTGCACAGTTCTGTCATGATGTCTTCCAGCATCATTTCTGTCATCAAGGTCATATTTTCTAGCTACCGCCCAATCCTCCGGGGAGCTCTGATGTCCATAGGGGATCGTGCTGCTAACCCAAAGGCAGCCCCTTTCTGGCATCCACCGGCAGCTTCACAGGAGAAAGATGGGCAGTCTCCTCCCGTGCAACTTACAGGCCCCTCAACCAACGCAGGTATTAGTCAGCTCTGTGGCAGCTCAGTGATGAAAACACATAGTTCCTAACGAAAAGGTTCATGATTCAAACCCAACAGTTGCTCCCTGGGAGAAAAATGGTAGTTCGCTTTCAGAAAGATTTACCACCTTATAAGTCCTACTAGACAACTCTGCTCTCTGTGAAGTGACTGAGTTGAAATGAAATTGGTGACAATGGTTGAGCTTAGAGGGTGCTTAGAGTAGGCAGGCAGCACTATCCTGTTTGGGGTTTGTTTGTTTTGTTTTTTTTTGTTTTTTGGGGGTGTGTGTGTTATTAAAATAATCCCATTTTATCTTCACCAGATAAGAAAATTGTAGAAAGGTAATTTTGAGTGCCTCCAAAGGTAGTAAGAATCAGGGGCTTTCATATACTTAGAAGCAGGAATAGCATCCACTTCCTCAACAACTTGCCTCTGGAAACTATTTGTTTTGATAAATGATGATAGTTATAGAAAGGCTTCACGCCTTTTGATCATAGGGTCGCTATGAGTTGTGCCCTACTTGACGGCAGTCAATGTGTATATATATATTTTTTTTTTATTTTGTTTGATTTTATACTGGTTTACATACAAAATTTAAAGTTCATGTACGTTGTTTTTCATACTGGACCTTTTCCTTTCCTTTACCAGTCCCTCTCTCCACCCATCAACTTGTGCAACCCTATGTTTAAGCGCCCTTGCTCCCCTCCTTGAATCCTCATGCACACTCTACAATAATGGTCCTGTATAGTATTTGTCTTTATGACATTGAGTTTGTTCACTTAGCATGGTGCTCTCCTGGTTATATTTTCAGTTCTTTTCCAGCACTGTGGATAAGATTGTGTTCTGCTGCTATTTAGAAAGTTTTCAGTGACCTTTTTTCCTCCCCAGAAATAATCAGGTCCTTCTTCCTAGTCTGTCTTACTATTGCAGTGTTGCTGAAACATGTCCACCATGGCTGACCTTACTGATTGATACTTGAAATCCACTGATTGATACTGGAAATCTTGGTGGCACTGGTTCTAGGCTCACAGTTACACGCAAGTTAATACAATATGACAACCTGACAGATTATTTCCACCAACGCAGCCAATTCTGTGTACCCTTTTGTAGTTTCTGCCAGCCTATTTGGGCACCCATGCAATCCCAGTCTCCTTGGATAAGGATGACTTCATGGTGATCTGGAAACCTCTTGTGTGCTGTCAAGTCAGTAGTGACCCATAGCTGACCCTCTGGTGGGTTTTCAGAGAATGTAAATTGCACAGAGGAGATTACCAACCTCCTGTAGAACAACTGGTGAATTTGAACTATGTTCCTTTGGAATTGCAGCATGACTTCTTTGCACTAGGCCACCAGAGCACCCTGAAAACCTTATAGATGTACTAGATTTTCTTTGACCAGTGTATTTGTTAAAACCAAACCATCTTTAGGAAGGAACCTAAAATTCTCAGAGGTTAAGTAACTTTTACGAAGTCATAAAATAAGCCCTAGAGCTAGATTTTTAACCAGATTTGTCAGCTTCTAGAGCTTGAATGGTTCATGTTCTCCGTCACTAATAGTGAACAGGGAGAAGTATGGTGAGTTTTAAAAGATGTAGCAAAAAGGCTAAAGGTAAGAATGAATTTTCTTTAGTCATTGAAAGTCTTGATAAATCTGGAGGTTAGCAGGCAAGGATTTGGTGAGCAAAGTGGGTAAGAATGGGGCTATGAAGAAATAGATCTAACCATACAGGATTTTTATAGGAATTTGGGAGGTGCTGAGGTTAGATGGAGCCATCCAGGTGTTTTCAGTGTTGGTTCCATCAGATACTGTAACATCTGGCTCTGAGTGAAACACAGTTAGATGATCTAATGTTAGATAAAAGGTTAGCAGTTCTAACTGCCTAGATATGCCTCAGGAAACTCTGCTTTGCCTATGGGGCCTAGTTCTTAGGCTTGAAATACTTGGGAGTTTGTTGACTCAGTGGCACACACTTGGTTGGTACATAAGTATGGAAGAAAGAAGAACTTGGGTTTGTCTGTGTTTCTTATTTGCATGGATTTGGAGGTTTTTCACTGGGTTATACTCCACTGAATTTTCTCATTACTCCTTTAAAGCCAGTGTGGAGGGGTGAAAATAAATCCAATGAATCTCAGTATATTTTAGAGCCTGATTCACCCTCCTGATGCCAGAATACTTTTTTTCCTTTGTGAGGTAAAGATAAATGTGACAGTAAAAAGAATTTTAAAATTCTTGGTAGGCTAAATCAATTCTAAAATATTTTTAAGTATGAATAGTGAATTCTCCTTTTCCCCTTAATCTTGCTTGGTTTTTCCTTTTCTTTTTAATGTTTTATTTACAAGTATCAAACTGACCTCAGGACAAAAGTGGAAGTCTTGAGGTAGAAAGGGTTGGCTCCCAGAATGCAGGGCCCATCCCAGGTCATCCTGAAGGAGCCTTGGAGTACTTTTGTTTTTGACAAGTTTGTCTTGTTTTGTGAGTAGCTGCCAATACAATGGTATGCGATTCAAATTCACCTGCTATTCCATGGGAGAAAGATGGATGGTCTCCTCCCATGTGATTTACTGCTCTGAAAGCCCAGTGGAGGGTCGGTTCTGGGTCAGCTCCATCTCTGTGGCCTATAACAACAACAACATGATAGGGCCGGGGTAGGGATTCTTTTTGCTCTGACATCCAGCCTTTCTGTTACAGGGATGGTGGTCTGAAGAGGGAGAAGGTGAAGGATACATTCAAAGAGGAGCAGCAGAAGTTGTATAGCAAGATGATTGTTGGTAATCACGAGGACAGGAGTCGTTCCTGAGTCTTCGCCTTGTGCTGGCTAGAGCCACCACGCTCAAATCATGACCTGTGAGCCAGCTGGAGTTGCTGCTGCCACCACCACCACCACTGCCCCCATGCTGCGTCCTTTCCAGACTTCAGGGCTCCTCGAAGAGCGCCAGGATCCCTGGACACCAGGGCAGCGCAGCCTGCCCTCCAGCTGTGTGAAGTGAGTGCTGCTGGATGTGACAGCCAGGGAAGAAATGCCTTTTTATTTCTTTTACAATTAAGTCCATTGAAGGAATGCCATTAAAGTCAACTCTCCACCCGAGCATGTTGTGAAGGACTGAGTGTTTAGGAAGAATCAGCAACATTCGGTGAGGGACGTTTGAATGTCAGTCTGTCACAGTGGCCCACGTCCCAGGCCGCTTTGCTGGGGAAGAACCTGCTCACTCTTGAGGAGCGGCTGTACTGAGGTACCGTGACTTGCTTCAGCCTTAACATTGCCCCACACTGTGGAGTTCCCCAGGTTTGGTAGAGAGGAACCTAGTCTTCAGGGGCTTTTGGCAAAATGAAGTTTTCTGCTCTTGTGTTACTACCCATGGGAAGTCACCAAAGGGGGTGGGAAGAAGCTAGCTGTCCTCTACTGGCTGTGGTAAGACCCAGGACTCATATTCTCATCAAAATCCAGTGCTGACTCTGAACTCCCTGTGTGACTCACTCTTTGTTAATGTGTGCCTCGGTTTCCCCATCTGTAACATAGATCAGAAGGGGAGGGATGGTGATACCTACCTCACAGGGTTGTTGTGGGGATTAAAGTGCTACTATAAGTGAAGGACAAGTAATGCTCAGTGTTCTAAGTACAGGTCGGTGATATGTGGGCAGGACGAGGTTTGCTCAGAGCTGCTGCACAGGCCTTTGGATTTGTTTTTGTGAGTAAATAAAATTTTCTTGAATGGTGAATGAATTGAGGGATTTTTCCCTTCTCTTTTTCTTCCCTAGACATAGCCTTATGTAACATGCTTCTTAACACATTTGCAATTGATATACTTGAAGATAATGCTGGGACTAGCTTTTGGAAACCTGGACAGTGACTAAGGGTGGTAGAAGGAGAATCAATGCCTCTGTGGTGCTAGAGAAGAGTATTGAATATACCAGGACTACCAACCAGGAGAACAAACAGGTTCATCCTGGAGAGGGTGAGACCAGGCTGCTCCTTGGAGGGAAGGATTCTGAAGCTTTGTCTGACACACTTTGGACATGTTGCAAGGTGGGACCAGTCCTTGGAGAGGGGCATAATTCTTGGAAGGGTGGAGGGACAGTGCAGGAGAGGAAGACCCTCAATGAGATGTCAGAGATAAAGAGATTGGCACAGGATAGAGCAGAGTTTAGGGCTGTTGTGCATAGGGTCACTGTGAGGTGCAAGTGACTCAACGGCAACATAAGATGCATGTGCAGCTCTCATTCCCAAATGCTTGGAGTCAGGTTAGAATTCCCATTGTCGATCGAGGAGTGGATTCCTCCACAGTGGGAGCTGGGGCCTAAAGTGTATAATCGGGTGGTTTTGGGGGAAGTGCTGTTTAATTTAGTTGGAAATAATGAGAGATGGCAGGATCTTTCTAGATGACAGGAGATGGTGAGAGAAATAGGTAACTACAAAGAGGGCAAGGGTGAAGTGAAGCTAATGAATTGTCCAACTTGATTAGTTAAAGCAACATCCAGGGCATCTGTAGTCCCCTTTTAACTGCCTCCCATTTCCTCTTACCAATGCTAACCAGTGAAAAAGTCCACCATCTAACTTTCTCAACATTATTATTACTTTGGTAACAGCCTCTTCTGAACTGTTTTATAAATGTTCAAGAAAAAGTTATTTTCAACCTTTATAGGAGATTGTTTAAAAGCTATCAAATGATTTTTTTAAAATGGGCCTTAAATTTGAAGTTAGCTTTAAAAAAAACCCCAAATTTCAACTTCTATTAATTAGTACTTTTATTTCATACCTTAGAAGTTACACACCCCTTCACTTTTTCACGATCTTTTACTAAAAAGACCAAGCACTAATTGTCGCACTTTTTTTTAATAAAAAAGGAATGTGAATTACACTAACAAAAATACATTCTCAGGTTTTTATTTAGTGTTGTGGATAAGCATTTACAAAGCATCATACTGCACCCTCCTTTCTAGTGGAAGATCCTGCAGGCCCCAAAATATCCCTAAGTAAGGACGTTTGGTTTGGCTAGGGCTAACGAAGTTGGTCTCTGGTGGTAAGAACTCATGGTACTATGGAATAACTATGAAACAAAATGGTCCAGAGTGCAAAATACATGCAAGCTGGGACTCCCGAGGGGTGAGGAGGATCTTGCAATAAAACCGAGTGATGTTAATTGGTGGTGTGATTGCTAGTCAGCCTCTCATCATCCTGCCAGTCTTGCCTGTTTGCTCTTACTTTTCTGTGTCTGTTTCCTGATCTGTAATCTTACCTTTGAAACTTGTGGTTTTTAAACTCAATTCAATTTTGATTTCTTTTCAAATACGCTTTATTTTTAAATGCATGCTTTGGTGAAAGGCTGAAGTTCAATTGGTGTTAGCCCAATTTTGATTTCTTAAAGTCACCTGGGCCCAGAAGCATGAGAAGGCCATTTTCCGTCCATTTGTTTGCTCCACAGCATTGCAGCTAATGAGCCTAAGCCCATGAGAGGGTAGCCCAAGAAAGGAGAGCCCTGGAGGATTTTAGATAACTGGAGATTCAGATTCACCCTTCTCTTCAGCTAGATGCCTTTGGTTGTGAACTTAGGCAAACACTTTTCCTGTCTAGCAAACAGGAGATTTTCCAGCTAGTTTAGAGCAGGAGCTTCCCGATAGAACTAGTAAAATTCCCGACTCGGGAAGCTCAATAGTAGGCTGTCGACCAGGCTCTTGCTTGATGGAGCACTTTGAGATGACATCTTTGTGACATAATAGAACCAACTTTGGAGCTTAATTCTTTACTGTCTCAGATCCCATTTCTTCACTGTTACTCTTCAGCAGTGATTAGGTCTGGGGTGTGGGGGATGGTGGGTGTGGTCCACAGAGCCCAAGTGACTATTCCAAGAGGGTGAGGCGCTCCTCAGACACCATCTTGTCACACACTTTCACAGCAGCGCCCTATTGATGGTGGGCACTCCCTGACCTTTGGGAATCTGGATCTACAAAGCCTGTTATTTCCTCCCTGCACTGACCACTCAATTTTCTATAGGACAGGGCTTCCTGTTGTCCCCTGATGCATGAAATACACCACTGTATCTCAGGTCCCATCCCTCTGCTCTGTGTCCCGGTGGTCCCATGCTGTGTGGCCTGGGCTGGAGGTGCTGGAAGGGCAGCTGCACGCACACTGACTCTTGGACAGGTTAAGAGACGACCATCCAACCATCTATCTTGCACTGCACTAACACCCCTTCTCCCCCCTAGTCAATATGTCTCTCTCCGATGGGAAAGTTAATAAATTTTGCTCTAGATTAAAAGTATTGATCATTTCATTTGTAAACGATAAATAAAAAGGGGGAACTTTTCATTGCACCAGGACTAGCGTCTGGTGTATTTTGCTGGTGAAATTGCGCTAGCTGTTGCGGGGGGTGGGCTTCTCATATGCATTCCGGGCGGCCAGCTGCATTGATTTCCTATTAGTCTCCCAGCACCACCCAGTAACACATCATTTCAGTACCTGCTATTAATGGTCTTTTGATAAATAATCACTTGTAAGTCAATAAATTTTTATTAAACAGTGTGGCTCTTTGATTTATTAAAATCCGACCGTGTTTGTCTGGGAGAAAAGGGATGCTGAATTGAAGTGGAGGTTTTCATACATCTTCCTGACGCTGAGCAGTCACCGCACACTCCAGAGAAAAACAATTGCATTTTAACAGAAACAAAACAGCCGAGTTTGGAACTTGGGCTCAGGGAAACTTTATCTCCGTCAGTCTGAATCTCACTCCACGGGGAGCAGCTTCCAAACCTGAGCGCGCCGTGTCAACAACTTTGTTTGCTTCAGAAAGTGGTGAGATACCTGGACTGCCCATCCCCACATTTGCCTTCTTAAATAGCACGCATGCTCTGCTGGTGCCACAGGCAGGGCCACTGGCCAGCCCCCACCCAAACTAAAATGTGTCCCCGGAGCAGGAACCCTTTACTAACATAGGAACAGACTTCAAGAGTCAAGGAGAATAGTTTGACTATAGGACCATAAGATGTTCTTCCTGTTTCAATCTCCACCAAATCTATACCTTGTAGCATCTGTATTAGATGTTGGCTTTGGTTTATATTTTGTAATGTAGAGATTTGACTGGATTATATTTCAAAGAGCACTGGTAGCTTAATGGTAAGGAATTGCACTGCCTACCCTAAGGAACATGGTTCGAGTCCATCAGATGCTCCACAAGAGAAAGGTGAGCAATCTCCCATGCAGTTTACTGCCTCTGAAAACCTGCTAGGAAATTAGCTATGAGTCAGACCTGACTCATGGTACACAACAACATATTTAAAAGTCAGTAACTCAGGATCAGAAATCTGTGTGTGTGGATTTCATTGGCATCAAATGTTCTGGAGATGGTTTGACATCCTTTGTTGAGACTACTTCGATCCCAGGCCATTATTTATAGAGTAGCCCACCTGCTGAATTGACCCAGTATCCTTAGTCCAGTGAAAAGTGGGGAAGAAATCTAACGGGTAAAATGGTTTTTTTCTTGTAACTCCTTAGTCCAGCCCTTCCTAGGCTACCACTACCAATTGATTTCTTTTTCCATTCACTATTTAGTGAGATGGCTGCTAACATGGAAGGGTTTTTGGAAGAAAGGTTGTTGATGTTTGTTGTTATACGCTGTCCAGTCGACTCTGACTCACAGTGACTCTGTGCACAATAGCTGTTATCCCTGGCCTGGCCTGAGCCAGTCTCACTGATTCCAACCCACTTAATCCCATCGCCCCAGTTACTGTGTCAATCCATCTCATCTGGGGTCTTCCTCTTTTCCAAGCATTAAGTCCTTCTTCAAGGACTGGCAACACGCCCAA